GAAAGCTGTGTGCCTTCCTGGTCCAGATATTATTTGGGCGGTGAAGCATTCTCTTGGGTGGCCCTGTGGTCAGAAACTGACCATTGATGAAGGACTAGAGGATGGCTAACACAGCTGTACATCAGCAGATGAGCTACAGTGTCTAAGTGTACAGCAGTGAGGTGGAGCTGCAGAGAGGGTTTTCTGGAAAAGTGGCTGCTGAGAGTGTTTGTGTGTGTGTGTGTGTGTGTGTGTGTGTGTGTGTTGTCTCTTGGCAGATGCTCAGATTGTGTGTGTGATCATGGTCTTCGTCACACTCTTCAAATCAGCGGATGAAGAGAGAGCAGAACATTTAATGGCTGATCTTTCACAGTCAGTCGTCTCTACAGTCGCTGCAGTCGCACATCAGCGGACTCATCTGACGCTAACACATCTCAGACACTCAGCCAGTTATACACAGTCTCACATCACTGGACAAACACTCCTCTGACACCACACACACACACACACACACACACACACACACAGAGTAATACAAACTCAGGCCTGCTAATGAAAGTTGGAGCAGTTTAATCTCATAGATGTTCTGGGTAATGAATAGTGCAGTATGCCTGTTCATTAAAATTCATGTGACCGTGTATCTGTAACTGTCGCTCATGAAAAAAACAGCAAGACAGAACACAATTATTTATGTGTCCTATTCCTGCAATTTCAGGCCAGAATATATCGTCACTATACCGGAAAACAAGAGACACATCGGTCCTGACCTCATAAAGCCCCATGTTTCATTCCAAACTGAAACAGCAAAGAAAAGAAAAAGAAAAAAAATTTTTTGGTTACGGATTTTATGGTTAGGTTTAGGTTTAGGGTTAGATGTAGAAAGTCTTAATACAATTACATATGAGATGTTAATATTACGTATTTCGTTTAACATTATTACATGTATGTACTTCTGTAAAACGTGGGACAAGTAATTATTACATATAGGTACTCACATATATAATACAAATGGGTCATGTTGTTATTATTATAGGTATTTGCAAACATATATATATATATATATATATATATATATATATATATATATACATAACATATGAGACATATTATGTATAGATACTTACAAATATATAGTAAATATGGGACATATTACATACTAGATATATAATATATAATACATATGGGACATGATATTGGTACATATAGGCATATTTACAAACATTATAATACATATGGTTCATATTACGTATACTTACAAATATGTAAAACATTTGGGACAAGTTATTACATAAGGACTTACAAATATATAATACAGATGGGACATTTTGTTTTTATTTGTTATTATTTGTTATTATTATAGTTTAGGTACTCACAAACCTGTAATGTATATGGGACATGTTATTATAACATATAAGTAATTACAAATATGTAATATATATGGGACATGCTATTATTACATATAGGTATCTGCATACATATCTCCACTGTGAGAACAGATGTTTGTAGTTTTTCATATTTTCTAACAGAATTTTAAAAAATGTCAGCTGCCCATTACACTGTGATAAACTTTCATGATGAATGGCCAATAAAATTACTTAGAATCTTGTTCAATTAAATTCAAATTCAAATGTCTTCTCATGTAAAGTTACTGATTTGGAGATTTTGTTACTCATACCTTAGCAGAGCTTAGTAACACTGAGATTAATAACCGATCACATTGATTTATCAGTCTACTCAGGCTTTAGCAGAGCTCAGTAACACTGAGATTAATAACTGACCATCCCATTGATTTATCAGTCTACTCAGGCTTTAGCAGAGCTCAGTAACACTGAGATTAATAACTGATCATCACATTGATTTATCAGTCTACTCAGGCTTTAGCAGAGCTCAGTAACACAGATTAATAACTGATCACATTGATTTATCAGGCTTTAACATTACCTATGTCCTGATATATACAAATGAAAGTGTGTGTGTGTGTGTGTGTGTTGGAGTGCAGTGGGTGGTGGGGTGGTCCTTCAATAAAACATGTTCACTTTTAACTCCGAAGGCTCTCTCTGTACAATCTGAGAGGCTGCAGGCTTCTCTGCTTTTTCTCTGCTTTTTAGGCTTTTCTTTCCCCTCTAACCCTGTAAATATCCAGTCTTTGACTCAGCACACTCTGTACGGTGTCCCTTAGTCTTACACACGTGTGTGTGTGTGTGTGTGTGTGTGTGTGTGTGTGATGTGTGAAGACATTCACTGTCAGCTCTGCTCCTATTCGCTGTCACCTTCGAGCCAAATCTGTCCCAAATCCAGCCGAGTCTGTCAGTCTGCATGCCTGCGCACATAACCTCACCCTCACACACTCACTCAATCACACACACACACACACACACACACACACACACACACACTGGATTCCCTGTTTAACACTCAGAATGGCCCTGCCTGCAGAAAGCGACTGGTACTGATAGTGAACAGAAGCTGCTTGTATGGGGGCATTAACCCCAAATCATCACTGTAACCCCGCCTTCAGGGACAGAGTGAGAACATCATTCTGTTCTGACCCATCATGGACGCTGTACGTCAAAACTTTGAGGACATCTAGCTTTTCTATCTGCTTAATTGCCAATTGTACACAATTATAATGACCATTGTAACCCCTTAAGTGGCCATCAGTGGGTCCAAGCTTTGAATATTTACCATAATAACAAAACTGGTGAGGACATAAAAAAAATAAAGCAAGTTGGTGTGTGTTGCGCTGGTATGAGTGGATCAGACACAGCAGTGCTGCTGGAGTTTTTAAACACCTCAGTGTCACTGCACTGAGAATAGTCCACCAACTAAAAATATCCAGCCAACAGCATCCTGTGACCACTGATGAAGGACTAGAGGATGACCGACACAAACTGTGCAGCAGCAGATGAGCTATCGTCTCTGACTTTACATCTACAAGGTGGACTAGCAAGGTAGGAGTGTCTAATCGAGTGGACAGTGAGTGGACACAGTGTTTAAAAACTCCAGCAGCACTGCTGTGTCTGATCCACTTGTAGCAGCGCAACACACACTAACACACCACCACCACATCAGTGTTACTGCAGTGCTGAGAATGATCCACCACACAAATAATACCTACTCGTTGGTGGTCCTGGGGGGTCCTGACCATTGTAAAACAGGGTAAAAGGAAGCTAACAATCTTTCAATATATGAATCAGCATGTTTAATCTAATTGTTTTGTTTACAATATTGACAAAAGTAAATCAAGAACCTTCAGCTATTGCCATCTTGAAAAGATAAAGTCTCCTTAAGCGTTTATGAAAATGTACGTGCTATGAACTTTATGTACACACAAACTTCACGTGTGTGTTTCTTCCATCTAACCTCATCCATTATTTACACACCTAAACCACTTTAGAAAGTCATTTACTCATCTTTATTACATTATCGTCCTTCCTCCTCTTTCACCCCTCCCCTCCTCCCCTCTCCCTCTGTTTATCTCTGTCATCCGTCTCACCCCCTCCCTCTAGATGTGTTGTGCAATAGCTCTGTAGTTCTCCTGTAGCTCGTTCTCCAGCTGACAGCTGCAGGATGCATAGCGGACACACACACATCCACGCTTTGATATCCACTTTACAAGCAGTCTGAAAAAAACTGATGCATTAAATTTAATCACATGTATATATCGCTATGCAAAAGTCAGAGATCAACCTTTCATTTTCATTCATTTCATTTCCGGTCAAAACAGGCAGTCGGTACAGGTTGTTCATTTTCCGTGAGATTTGTAAAATGCAGTACAAATATGAATGTGTGATGTGGTAATTCTCTTGAACCTTTATTTAACCTACAAACGTACAAAGAAATTACTTTAAATGTTTTGGCAGACCAACTTGGGATTGTATTTTGTAAACAAATTTTGAATTTGATGCCTGCAACACGCTCAAAAAAAGTTGGGCCGGGGCAAAATAAGAGTGAAAAAGTTACAGAATATTCAAATCACGTGGTTTTGGAACATTCCACAATAAGCAGGTGAATTGGTAACAGGTCAGGGTGTTATGATTGGGTATAAAAGGAGCGTCCACCGAAGGCTTAGACTTTGCAAGCAAAGATGAGTATCGTGAGGCAGGAGACACAGAATGTCTGTGATTAGATAGTTTGAGTCTGTGCAGGCAGGAGAGTGGGTGCTGTGCAGGTGAGACTCTCTGCATAGCGCTGGACAGCAGGAAGCTTCATGGTAGCTCACTGTTTATGCCTCAAATGCAAAATCAACTATGAGGACAATAGTAGATGATTCACTTACATCCTTGGAAAACATCCTGCACCAAGGTTTCTCTTTGAATACTTCAAACTAACATGATGATGTGTTTTCAATGTCCTGTACACAACAGTAAAATCAGGCTGTTTTAGCTGTATAAAACATAAGAAATATCATTTTACACACCTTTGTTTTGGTTGCTTTGCATGATGTTGAGGTCACTTTTACATGCAATTTTATAATCTTTAAAAACTTCCCTCTGCTTTAGGACCCTAACCTAACATCACCTCACCTGTAGTAGTGCGAGAACCACTCGCGATCATCAGATTCACCTGGGGGTCTGAAGCACAATCCATGTTACAAAACGTTCTTCTACATGTTGCATGCAATTACACATGTCCACCAGAGGGGTCTCCAAATCCCCAAATCCTACAAAGCGCAGCTTTAAGTCTTCCATCATGCTAGCGCACGCTTCCTCCGAGACACATGAAACACCAAAAACTGCTGCTGTCGGCTTAGCACACTTGGAGGAGAGGGCTGACTGCAAATTCCGTTACAGTTAGAATCTCTTGGACTTACGGATGGCTGTGGCTTCAATGCGAATCAAACTCAGACGGAGTGATACTTAAAGAGATTCGGTTGGAGTTCAGTTCTAATATACATACTTCTAAACTGACTAGAATACTTCTCAGCTATTCACATGGTGAGGTCAGAACCAACTGTGGTATAATGAAATTGAATGATTTAATATCTAAATCTCTACCCCTTTGTCTTTCTCTCCCCCCAGCTCTCCTGTATGCCACCATCTTCGGTAACGTGACCACAATCTTCCAGCAGATGTACGCCAACACTAACCGTTACCATGAGATGCTGAACAGCGTGAGGGATTTCCTCAAACTCTACCAGGTGCCTAAAGGCCTGAGTGAGAGGGTCATGGACTACATCGCCTCCACGTGGTCCATGTCCAGAGGCATCGACACTGAGAAGGTAAACCAGCACAAAGCTCAGGCTCTTTCTCTCACACACCGCTGTGTATCTGTTTGGTTCCTTGCCGGTGGTGTGAGCTGTTGTTCCCACCTGCAGACATGCTGCAGAGATCTATACTGTACACCCTGGAGGGAGATCTAAAGGCATACACAGAGTATGTTGTGAAGTCTGTGAGCTCTCCAGCTACCCTACATATGTATTTCTCCATCTCTCTTGCACTCTCTATCTTCAAAGGAAGCACCCAGGGTATAAAATTCATGTAAGACACTCTTGTGATGTGTCTTTTTCTATATAAAGGGCTTATATTATAGAATAAATTAAAGAAGTTTGATGTAAACACTGTTAAAGTTTGAGAACATACCGCCCACATCAGCCCATACAGTCCGTATTTGGAAATTAAACAGCCTGTTTTGAAATTCATCATGGTTGTGATGACAAAAACACATTAGACCGCCTTTTACACATGATTTACTGTATGATTCAAAGGAAATGACAAAACCAAGCCTCCATTAATTCATTCAAAACAGCCATTAAGCACAGTTTATTCATTTTTCAGGAGATATTTGAGTTTACGCAAAAAATGGTTAAGGCTGCAGAGAAAATGAGACTCCTAACAACTGTGCAAGACCTGGCAGATGACCAAAACTGACCCCATCAGATAAACAGCACGTATAGCTTTCATCTTTGAGAGAGAGGAGAAAATCAAGCTGCTTCAGATCTGAAAACATCCACAGGTGTTTCTGTCCATCCTTCCACTGTGAGAAGACGACTCAGCGCTGTGGGGCTGAGAAAGGGAAGAAAATTTACAAATCAAGCAAAGAAGCTCCTGGTGTTCTCGGAACAATAAACTGACCATGCCACAGTCCAGACGTCAACATCGCTGAATGTGTTTTATTTGGATTTGTAAAAAGCAGAAAATGCAACCAACTTCTAAGACTGAACTTTGGAGGTCCCTGCAGATTTCTTTGAGAAACTGAAAGTGAGTCTCCTGGAAAAATGGAAGCTGCAGTAAAGAAAATAAGTGGACACTACATACTGGAAACAAAAATGATTATATTAAGTCGTCTTTAAGGTTTTTATGATTCAATTAAAGCGCACGGCTTTCACGTCAAGACCGCTGGTCAGACCAGGAAAAATCCATTTTAACAGCTTTATTATTTTCTACAGAAGTAAATAATGTATGTTTGTCTTTGCAGTATGTTGATGTGTGAATTGCTATTTTTAAAATTATTACTTTGTAAAAAGTTCACTGAGGTGACACAAGCTACATAGCATGCTAACCGCTAACACTTCTATGGTAGCCTTCACAGACTAAGCGTTTTTGCTCATGTTTTCACTCTTAACAGAGAAAAATATGAGCTTTGTTATATTCTACATATGATTTAGTGTAATTGTAGACATTGTTGTGTGGGTGCAGTGCGTTGCTGCGTATACCATCTAAGATGCTAACTAGTAAGCAAGATAGCTAAGTAGGCCAGTTAGATGGTTTAGTTCAACATAAAATGACCAAAAAGACAATGAAATAGTTCATAATTGTTTATTGTGGTCATTATGATGGACTCTCAAGCAGGTGGAAAATGAACTAGAAGTAAAACTGTAAGTTCTGTTTGGGTCACTTCTTGTTTTTGAATGTAAATTTTTTAATGTAACAGTAAATTTTGTGTTTAAACTGAACACTGAATAACTTGTACTTGTGGTTAGTGGCTGTTTTGACTGGAATTTTTCTATTTTTAATTTGAACTTTATCCTCTATTATAAGGGGCCATATGATGTTTAAACAAGAAACTGATGTCCTGTGTAAACATTGCTTCAGAACATACTGTCTGCTCCCCAGTCTATACAGCGTCCATACTAATCTGCAAAAGTAGCCTGTTTTGAATGCATCACATTTGTGGTCACACTAATACCTAATATCACACAAACCAGGTCCAACATTTAAAAAAACACAAGAACATGTTGAATATGGAAACTGAAAGATTCCTCTCTCTCTCTCTCTCTCTCTCTCTCTCTCTCTCTCTCTCTCTCTCTCTGTAGGTGCTGCAGATTTGTCCGAAGGACATGCGTGCTGATATCTGTGTGCACCTGAACAGGAAGGTGTTTAAGGAGCACCCTGCGTTTCGGTTGGCCAGTGACGGCTGTCTGCGTGCGCTGGCCATGGAGTTCCAGACCATTCACTGCGCGCCGGGTGACCTCATCTACCACGCAGGAGAGAGTGTGGACAGCCTCTGCTTCGTCGTCTCAGGGTCCCTGGAGGTCATTCAGGATGACGAGGTGGTCGCCATTCTAGGTGAGCAGCTAACAGGCTGTAAATCTCTGACCTCGTGACAGTTTGATGATGGTTTTCCGTAGGGCTGAACGATTTGGGGAAAAGATCTAATCGTGATTTTTCTGATCAGTATTGGGACTGCGATTTAAATTGCGATTATTTTCTGTAGATGGAAGTTCAGGGCTGTTATTTTGGCCAAGAAGACCAGAGCATCTACTTTTTCTGGCTTGAGACTTGAACACTGAACATGCCGGACTGCCAGTTAGTTGTGGTTGTGATGTCACAGCATATAGTTATTTGGTTGCTTCCGATTGGTCTAACTCAGGAGTCGGCAACATGTGGCTCTGGAGCTGCATGTGGCTCTTTTACTGTCCTTTTGTGGCTCCACAGCAGAATTAGATTTGTAGGTAAAAATAAAATAATCCTCCTTTACAGTAAAATAAAGCTCTGCTGATCGTTCAACACAGTTTAACAATAAATGGTCTTAAACGCTGGAGTTAATGTAGAACTGCTAATTCACCCTTTAACCCTGAAGATCAGCACACAGACTGCTGGTCACCATAGCAACTATAGCAACAATCTCGCCTACCTTCCTCATACATTTAATCTGCAACAAGAAACTGTGAAACTCTAAAAATGAGCAAAGCTGAAATCAGCTTCTCATTCGCCAGCTTCTTTGAATTTCCTGTTATACCTTAAACGGTTCAGCAGTTACATTCTGGTGCCTCAGACACCATTTAAGGTGGAATGGGAAGATTCAAACAAGAAGCTGGAGTATGAAAAGCGACTTCAGCCTCGTAAAAAATTGAACGTTGAGAGACTTTCTACAAGACACTCTTGCACTTTTGAGGAAAGGTTTCCTGCCGGAGATGTGAGAAAAGCACAAACTTCAAAAAGTTCATAAAGCTCAAAGTAAGTCTGCGTTTTTGTTTATGTCATATTTTTTTGCCTATACTAGCACATCAGCACATACTGAGACATATTTACAGCCAAGGTGATAAAAGGGACATAAAATGTTGTGGCTCCCAAGGTGGTTTGATTTTTGTTGAAAGGACAAAATGGCTCTTGTTAACATTTGGGTTGCCGACCCCTGGACCAACCCATCTACAGGCAGTTTACAAGCTCTGATATAAGGTCAATGTTCCCCAATTAAGACAACCTTGTTAATAAAAAATGGCTATAATTAAAGTTGCAGCTCTTGGGATTTGAAAATTGCAATTTTGATATAAAAATGATCTTTTAGCCCTAGTTTTCCATGAAACGATTCAGTGTTTCATGAAATTTCACATTTTTCTACAATTTGATTTCATTTGACTATTTTGATTCAGAAAGATTTTTAAAAATACTTCAGGGTTCACTGACTGCCAATGAAATTTCTGATCCAAATGCTGCAATAGCATCTTGTCAGGATGTTGTCAGGAAACATGCTCTGCAGCGTTAAGATGCACAAAAGTGAATCATGTTTGTCTCGTAACCTGTGTTTTGTTGTTTTTTGTTGTTCATGCCCTACTGATACTTGGTCAATTGGTTGCTAGGGTCTCTGATATGATGACGGTATATTTCAGACAACCCCATAAGCTTAAAATACACTGAAAACACACTGAGTATGTTTACATGCACTTAATAATCTGATCATAATCAGATTTCTGCAGTTATCTGATTATTCAAATAGGTGTGTAAGCAGCAAACTCCAATTTCTTAGATCAGAGTAAAGTCTATAAATCCGATTAAGAAATCCGATAAAGAGGCTGGATTTTAGCTCAGTAATCAGATTTCTCATGCGTGTATACCCTTACTCTGATTTCTTTCAGATTTCTCAGTCTGCCCATGTGTGAACCAGAATGTGATACTGGAAGTAAGCGAGACGCAGCAAAACACTTTTGGAGCGGTGCTGAAACGAAATACATGCTTGACGAAGGATTTAAATATTCTTCATCTTTAATGATGTATATTTTTAGGTAAAGTGGCGCGATGTTTAAAGAAAAGTATGAGGATTGAGTTTTACATTTACGCCACGTCTTCTTCTGGGAGTTTATTGGCTGGTTGCAAAGCAGAAATCCGATTACTGTCTGACTCATGTAGACCTGGAGTTTTCGCATGATCTGATTTGTCTAATGCATGTAAACGCGTTGATCGGATTACTGACAAAATCTGATTTTCTGCAGTTATTATTAGGTGCACACTGACGATTCAGTCTCACTAGAAAAGTATGCTGGGAGTCTTTGGCGAAAAATAGCTAATAAGAGCTAATAACACTTTAGTGTGTTATTAATGCCTCAATCTTTAACACAGTTTGTGAGTTTTCCTAGTTTGACCCTTTCAGCCATCCGTAGCTCCAGGCTGAAGCCCAGCTGCTCATGCACTGTGCGTGGCTGTAGAATATACCGTTGTACCGTCTCATTCCACTACCTCTTTTAAGTGCTTTTAAAGCCATATTGTCAGCTGACTGCACTGGACAGCACTTATTGGAGACCAAGAAGCAAACTAATGAAAGCAGCAGAGTGGAAAGCTCCAGTTCTCTTTAAGAGATGTAACAAGAATCCATGAGCTGTGTGAATGAGGGCGAGAGTGAAAGGCTACAATTACAGAGGAGGTTCACTGACTATATATACAATACCGTGTCAGAGAAGTCAGAGACCATCCTTTATGTATTTATTTTCCAATCAGATGGTCATTTAGTTCCAGTTACTCATTTTTCAATGTCAGGGAAAAAAGCAGAGAACATGCATTAAACAGAAAATTACACAGAAGCCTCAACAGCTAAATACAACATTTTCAGTATTGACCGTGTCCACTCTTTACCTCAATTACAGCTTCCATTCTTTCCAGGAGACTCACTTTCAGTTTTCCACAGCAATCTGCAGCGATGTTCTCTCACGATCCAAGTAATCCCAAACACTTTCAGCAATGTTGAGGCTCTGAGAAGATCATCAGCTACTTTGCTTGATTTGCAAATTCTTCTTTTTGGTCTGTTTCCTTTTCTATTAACATCTGCACATCCTCTCAGACCCACAGCGTTGTCTTCTCGCAGAGGAAGAATGGCTGTGGACTATTATCTTTGGGGTCAGTTTGACTCCTTCCAATGTTTAACGTCTCTAAATAAATGATTGACATCTTTTTTTTGCTTCGTATTTAATGACGTTTCCTAATTTAATGGGGACAACTGGGTAAACGTGAAATTAACATGATGTGTTTTCAATATTTTTTATGTTTTGTACGCGTAAGTGTTCTTTGGGGTCAGTTTGACCTCAGGCTGTTTTAGCTGAATAAAAACATAAGAAATATCAACCTTTTACACATTTGTTTTGGTTGTTTTGGATGATATTGAGGTCAGTAGGACATGCAATTTTGTAATCTCCTCTGCTTTAGGGCCCTAAAATAACATAACCACTCCTGTAGTAGTGCGAGAAAGACAGATAGTTCACGGAGGGGAAAACAGAATTCCCAGCAAAACTTTGATATTTTCCAGAGGTTTAAATTGCTGGAGGCAAACTGACCCCAAAGATGACAGATGTTAGTTCATTTGAAGATAACAGGAGGGTGAAGTACTGTGTATTTGATGAGGACAGTTTTTGGTGGTTTATTGAACTTTTAGAAACTTTCAGAAACTTATTTTTACTTATTTTTCGTTGATGTTCTCCTTCTGTAAGTGGATTATCTTATATCTAATCTTCTCTGAAATTTCTCTTCAAACATGAATAGCTTGTACTTAAAGTCTGTTTGGAAATTAAATTAATACATTAATTGGCTGAAACATGCAGCCACTGTTGCTCTCACTGGACGTTGGTGATGACAGTTGGAGACTGTGTTTACTCTGTGGAAATCAAGGCCCAGTCACATTTCTTATTTTTACCCCTACCCCTTGTTTTCAACCCCACTTTGCCCCTCAGAACTGAGTTACAAAGGGGTAGTGGTTTAAATCTTCCCCTATGAAATGGGACCCTCAAATAAAAAAGAGCATCACTTCATTAACAGCTACCAGCGCTGCTCTGTAGGCGACCCAGCCAGTCTGCAGTGACAGCAGAGGAGGGTAAAGTTCAGCTCCTCACTGCTGGGCTTTAGTTACATTTAGGGAATCATATGCCTTCAAAGAGGGGGGCGATTATTTATATCCACCCCTAATTCTTCAGTGATATGAAGCTGAAGTCAGATATTCACCAGATTCTTGTTCAAATTTTCCCGTTCCACCTTAAATGGAGGATTGCTCCACCAATTAAGGTGGAAAAGGAAGTTTAGCTAGCTAGCTACTGAGACATCAGCATAGTACTAGCGACTTCATATGCTTGCTATAAAGAAAGGCACAATAATACACTGAAGTGTCATTAAATTGAGACAATACAATGGTTATCGTAACTTTTTAACGCAGAAAATTCTCACATTTGTGGGTTTCTTTGGTCTCTTGTTCAGCCATCTTGTCTGTTTTTCCTTTTTTTTTTCATATCACTCTGTTTGGAGTCTCTGAAAAACCTCTGTTTGGAGGGCCATGTAGCCCTAACACTTCGCCCTACCCCTCTATCTCAACAAGAATCAGGACACCCTACCCCTAGATGTGAGCATGCAAAACGGAGGGCTTAGGGCTCAGTGGGAGGAGTGAGGGGTGAAATGGGACAGGAAATTAATGTGATTTTCATGTCGACATGATGAAAATACATTCTAATGAAGCTTCTTTTGCCCACTCATATATCTACATCAAAACAAACCAAAAAAATCTAATTTGATCAAATTAAACAAAAGCGATGAATCCCATTACACAGAATAATGTGATTATGTTGATAACGATAATTGTTTTGATAATTATAATAACAGTCCTAATAATAACATTAGTATAATCAGTTATCTTCAGTTCTAACATTCTAGATTGTGCATTATAAGTGTATCAGCTGAGCAGCTGAGTAGCCGTCCTCAGATGGATGCAGTGTAACGCAGTTTTATAGCCCTTATGGCTTTGAACTGGGGGACTGTGTGTGTGCGTGTGCTTGTTTGGAGTGGATTGTGTTTTCAGTGTCTCTGTCCATGTCTGT